CGAGAGTTGTCAGGTGGTCGGCCGCTCGGAACCATATCGCTTGCATCTGGGTTTGCGCGTCGTGTTTCGGGATAGCGTACGTCTGTCCGTCCCCTTCGAGTGGCCACAAGATGATCTTCTCGGTGTCGGGCCACTTCCATAGCCGCATGCATTGATTCTGGTCGCTCTAAGAGAACCTCCACGGCTAGATCATACTTCAGCCCACCAATAAATGCCCCAACCAACGCAGTCTCGGGCCAGCCTCGTACGCAACATGCCAATCGCTCGAACTCCTTAAGATAGTCGCGCAAGCTGCCGGTCTGCCGTATGCGTCATAGCGCCTCATCATAATTGTGGTAGTCGGATGAGCCGAAACGTGTAAGTAACTCGCGCTCGAAGTCGTTCCACCTGATGACTTGTCGTCGGCCACGGTAGATGCTTGTAAGCCATTGCCACCATACATTGGCCTCACCATCAAGATAATATGCTGCGTACCTTACTCGATCGGTCCCTTCGATCTCGTCCAGCTCGAAATATTGGGCAGCCCGGTTGAGCCATGCGTCGGGATCTACGCCAATGAACATGGACAGCGTGATCCTCAGTTTCTCGGGCTTCGGCCGATCGCGATAGCTGGATGTCTGGGATCGCCGATCGAAATCATCCTCCTGGTTGAAATCCACACGCCTTCGTTCGTGCTCCTCGCGCCTCAGCTCCTCACGTCGCCGCTCCTCCTCCTCGGCCCTCTCGTGCTCGTGTTGACACGGAGGTGGTTGGCGCGCTTGTTGTTGGAAGTTGAGAGCCATCTCATCGAACCTTTGGTTCATGATCTCCATCAAATCACGAACCGATGCCTTTGTAGTATCGAGACCCTCGCCTAGGGTACTCATAGCCTCGCTCAAACTACGGACTTCAAAATCGAGATTATCGATCTTGTCCTTTATCTCCTTATTGGCCATGGCTTTCTTCTCTTTGCTTCTAGGACTCGTGTTGAAGATGATGATATATATTTTTTTTTTATATATGAGGGGGGACGAAAATAAGAAAAGAAAAAGAAAGGGA